TGCACTCCATCCTGGGTGGTAGAGTGAGACCCCAACTCAAAAAAAAAAAAAAAAAAAGAAAAGAAAGAAAAGAAAAAGAAAAAGAGAAAGAAAGAAAAACAGGCCTAGGGTGCATTTCGGGATCAACCGTTGGCATCCAGAGATGGGACGGGGCGCTTTGATCCCAGTGGGCGGGGCGGATGGGTTTGGTGCTGGGATTGGCGTTTGGTGTCTGAGCCCCTCGGTGAGGGCTCAAGCCGGGGTCACAGAGTCTCCAGGCGACGCTCACACAGGTGCCTGCGGGCCCCGGGTACAGGAAGCGCGGGCTCTGCTGTCTTGGAAGTCTCTCCCCACCCTCTCAGCCATCCATCCTGCTCGGTGGATGGTGGAAATTTATGGCGACTTTAAAAACACAAAGAAGAGACTCCGGGTGGGGACGGGAAGGGGGCTGGAGAGGGGGAGATGTTTTATTGACTTCTCCTTAATTGCTGTAATTAAAAACATGTAAAGAATCCCTTTTTAACGACTTTGCCATTATCCTTAGTGGTAGACGCAGCTGCCTTATTAATTTCTCATTAGATCCCGATTCACAGCCCCTCTCTGGGAAGGGGATGGGAGCCAGGGGTGGGCCTGCCCAGCTCCACCAACCTTGGAAAGAGGCCCAGGGACGGCAGCCACCAGGGACTGGCTGCCTGGAGCCCCAGGACAAGCCCATCCCACCCAGGAGGCAGAAACAGCCGAAGGGCAGAGGGAGATTTGGGAGAAGCGTCCTACCCCGCCCAACCTCAGAACGTGTGCCTCTTGTGTGAGAAGGTGAGTGGACGGACAGACAGACAGGTGCAGGAGTCTGAGGGAAGAGCCCCCCGGGGTAGGGGGCGGGAGTGAGGGGCTGAGGCTGCAAGATTGAAGGGGGCACCCAACCTCAGGGTCGTGCTGGGGCAGGCTGGGTCCTGAGAATGAGCCTCCCCTAAAGCCTCAGCACTGGCCTTCCTGAGCCTAGACCTAGCCCTGGAGAGTGAGGGGTGGCTGGGAATGGACCAACGCAGGTCGACAGAATACAGAAGCTTGTTTATCCCAGGATGCCTTCCCTGGTTGACTTTCAGAGAGAAGAAAGGCTACTCCTCTCCGCGTGTTCTGCGGGCTGGGGACCACTCCCAATGGTTTGTGTCCATTAACCCAAACAAAGACAACAAAGGTATAGAGAAGTTAGCAACTTGTCCAAGGTCACATGGCTTGTGCGAGGTGAGCTGGGATTCGAACCCAGGGCTCACGGGGCTGGGTTCATGGTTATACCCTACCAGGCAGAAGAGGGTAGAAGGTGGAACTACTGATTGGGGGACTTTGGGCTATCCTCTCACCTTTCTGAACCTCAGTTTCCCCATCTCGACATGTGGCCCCTAAGACTGGCCTTCCGACTTCTCAGACCTGTCCTGGGAACTCCCTGGAGAAAGACATTTACACAATCACACTGGAGGATGGATTGTTCCGGAGGCTTCTTGGCACCTCCCTGGGCTCTGCATCTGGGACAGAGGTGGCTTTGGGCTTCCTCGGGGGAAGGTTCTCTCCAAGATACACCCATGGGTCCTGATCCTGAGAGTCGCTTTAACCTCGTTAACATCAGCGCTGAAACGGATCGGATCTCATTTTACAAGACAGGGAAACCGAGGCCCAGAGAGGAGAAAGGAAGTGTCGGAGTCCTAAGCTAGTCAGTGGCCTTGGTTGGGCCAGAAGCCACATTCTCTAACCCCCGTGGCAGGCCATGGCTTTAGGCACAAGGGCCGTGGCCTGGCACACAGAGAACCCAGGAGCTTTGGTGGGTATTTTTCTTCTGCCCGTCCTGTTGACAGCAAGGAAAACCACGTGATGGTGGGGTGTACACCACCCGCTGGCGCCGGGCATTCCCTAGGTGGGGACGACCTGCATTTGCGGGGCTGTTTTGGACCCTATGATTCTACTTGAACCCTGACCCCAACAGCTCACCTCCCGCCCTGCTCCCATCCTGATATTCTTGTCTTGCCTCAAGAGTGGGGCCATTTCATAACCAAGCAGTCATGGGTTCAAGTCCTGGCTCTGGTCTAGCTGTGCTGTCGCCCTGCCGAGCCTTGGTCTCCTCATCTGTACCATGGGGATGGGGACCTCTACTCTGCAGGTGGCAATGAGGACCAGTGGCAGTGCCACGCGGTGTGTACCGCCCAGCACAGTGACATGCAGGACGGAGTGCTGCTGTGGGTGAGAACGGTTTTGCCAGGTGTCACCTTCCCCTGCTCTCAGAATCCTGGGGGAAGGGATGGGGCTGGGGAAAGGACTGGACTGTGGATCCCTCAATATTCACAGCTAGATGGGGAGGCCGCCCCAGGACGAGACACGTGTGTCCTGCAAGGGGGGAGAGGAGGGTGCGCTCCCCGACCAGGGCTAACTTGTTAGGATGAAAGGTCTTCCCCGGGACCAGAGGCGTTTCTAGGGCTTCCTTCGCTTCCTGGGGTTCACAGTCAAAGGGCTGCAGAAAGTGGCTCCTACTTGATGACCTTATGGAGGAAACTGCCTCAAAGCCTGCAAAGCTGTATCAGACATGGATCTCAGGGCTGGGTGGGGGAGTCGTGGCGGGCGGCCAGGGAACGGGTTAACCTGAGACTCTTCCTCTCTGTGCTCCCTTCCGCCCCTTCGAGGTGTCCCATATATTTTTTTTTGAGTTGGAGTCTCACTGTGTCGCTCAGACTGGTGTGCAGCCTTGCCTGCTGGGCTCCGGCGATGCTTCTGCCTCAGCCTTCCAAGTAGCCGGAATTACAGACATGCGCTACCACGCCCGGCTGATTTTTTGATTTATTGTAGAGATGAGATCTTGCTGCCCAGGCGGGTCTCGAACCCGCGGGCTCAGGCAATTAATTCACTCACCTCAGCCTCCCAAAGGCGCGGGATGACAGGCTGAGCCACCGAGCTCGGCGGTGTCCCATATCTTTGCCTGGGGATTGTACCTACACGCCCCCAGCTTGGCGGCAGCAGCACAGTTCAGCATGGTGGGACACAGTGACAGTTACAACCTTGCCCGGGGTGCCCATAGCCCTGCCTTGGTGAAGGAGCAGGTCGGGATCTCACTGCGAGAGGGGGTGGAGGGGCAGGCCTGGGCTGGCAGGAGGGTGCTGGGGAGGGGACCAGCCTGCGGCTCTGCATTTGGCCAGGACAGTGTTTGCTGGACACCACTCCACTCTGTGGCCTGCTTTTTTTGCTTCCTTAACATGATAGGGTAGAACAGTAATTGCAGCAGTCATTTCCACAGATGCAGGTTGTACTATGTGTGGGCGCTTTGCCACAGATAAGCTCAAGGAACCCTGCAGGCGAGCCTAGGAAGTTGGCGTTATTAAATGTTTTATGGATGAGAAACAGGAGCTGGGTCGAGGCTCAGACAGGTCCAGTTACTCCCCTGGGGTCACACAGCAATCAAGGGCAGAGCCAAGATGGAATGTGGTCTGCCTGACTCTAAAACCCACCCTCTTCATGAAGCCACATCACCTCCCTGGTGACGGGCTCCCAGCCTGCCAACACCATAAGGCACCCCAAGTCCTTACACTGGTGCCCTAGATCTTAGCAACTACAGGGTCCTGAAGCTCCCTCATGAGTCTGGCCAGGCCCCCGTAGGTCATTGCCACCTGGGGTCAACCCTGCCAGCATCACCCAGGGTGGTCCAGGACTCTGAACCTGCAGTGGAGGGGGGTGCAGCTCAGGGTGACCCCAACCTCCCACCCCCACCCCCACTGCCTGGACCGAATGGTGTCCTGGATGGCATTCCCAACTGCACGCACTTACACACACACACAAAGCTCTGAGGAGTCCTCTCCCCACTGACAGCTGCCTGGAATCCGTCATTTTAATTCAGGGCTTTCCTGCTCCTCAGAGTAAGTTGAGCTGCAGTTAGTTCTGATTTATGGGGACAATCCGTCCTCCACTTTTGATTACGGTTGTTTTCCATAATTATTATAAACACTCTTTGCCTCACTCCAGATCTTCTCTGAGATTTCTCTCCTGCACTTCTCTTCAAGGAGCGAGCTCTCTCCTGGCTAACTCCGAGGCATGCCCCTGTGGGCTCCAGACAGTGTCCCTTTCTCAAAAAACCCCTCAATATCAGGACTCCCTGAGGATCGCTGCGTTCCCCTGGCCACAGTGCAACCTGGGACTTCCACCTTCGAGGAAGCCCAGGCTGGAACGGCCCATGTGAGCCTCATGTCTAGTGGACAGCAGATGTTTAGGAAAGGGGACAGGGCTGGGAAGGGACACTGGGTCGGGGGGTGTTGGGTGGCGCTGGCATCCCATCCCTGAGATGCCCCTGGGTTCTTCTGTTGTCCCTTCCTTACCTGAGGACAACCTTTTGGGAATTGGCAGCGCTGGGGAGAAGGCTGTCACCCCCAAAGGCTCTGTGAGGGTCTCCCACTTCCATCTCTATCTGCCTGGCCCTTCCAGGCACCCTGATTCATCACCCTCCTCTTTTTGAGTTGCTCACCAAGAGGCACCTCCCAGCAACCCCTGAAGGTCACGGGGACTCTCGGGCTGCCCTCGCCCCAGGGCCGAGGGGGTTGGAGGATGAAAAGGAGAGTCACGGGGCTCCCGGGAAGCCAGCCGAGAGGCTCGGGGTAGCCCTCCCCAAGTGTGAGGCAGACCCCAGAGGACGCACTCAAGGCAGGGGGCCAGGTTCCATTTTGACGAATCGGCTGGTCCCATTTAAAAGGCCCCCAAGAGGTCACCAGGGAGTTCTTGCCTCTCTGGCCATGTCATGGGGCCACGGAGCCAGCAGATGCGCGTGGGGCTGTTCGACTGTGTGTGACCTGGAAGAGCACACACCACCTCTCTGGGCATTGGTTCTCCCAACTGTAACATGAAGGTACTGGCCGGGACAAGTGGGAGGGGCGCCATTGGCACCCAATGGGTGTGGAAGGCCGTGGCTGGATCTGACTCTGCCCAGAGTGGCTGGTGGGTTTGGACCCTGCCTGCCCCCTCCCCCCCCCGCCCCCTGCCGATCCCCTGGTACTCACAGGCCACCTGGACCTCCGTTTGCCTCTGCAGCAGTGCCCCCATCCGGTTACGTACGATGCAGCGGTAGAAGCCGGCGTGGGTGCGGTCTAGGCTGGTGATCATGTATCTAGGGGACAGACGAGACAGTCAGTGAGCAAGCCGGGTAGCTGCAAGGGTGCAGCAGTCAGAATGGGTCCAGAGGTCAGGGATCACCAGGTCACCCTCTTTTTTTTTTTGAGTCGGAGTCTTACTCTGTCGCCCAGGCTGGAGTGCGGTGGCACGCTCATGGCCACCGTAGCCTCAACCTGCAGGGCTCAAGTGATCCTTCTGCCTCAGCCTTCCATGTAGCTGGAACCACAGGCACGCGCCGTGATGCCCGGCTAATTTTTAATTTATTTTAGAGACGAGATCTTGCCATGTTGCTCAAGCTGGTCTGGAACTCCTGAGCTCAGGCAATCCTCTCGCCTCCACCTCCCAAAGCTGGGATTGCAGGTGTGAGCCACCATGCCCGGCTAGGTTATCCTTTTTTGGAATGAAGAGAGCCGGGGAGCTCTTGACCCTCATGGGAGTACCAGAAGGATCCTTATCAATAAGAGGCTCCCTCTGAATCACAACAAAGCTGTTGCTCGTCTGCCCAGGAAGTGCCTGCACTTTTCCAAGGACGGGAGGTGCTTGACCCTGCCTGTGGCCGTGCCACCTGGGGCCGTGCTATCTCTGGTGGAAGCTGCTGTCCTCCCCTGCCTGAGATGCATATGACCGAGAAAGGTGGGGGCGTTTTTCTGGCCTTGCACAAGACTGCGCTGTAAATATTAATTGAAACGGATGGCGGTGACAGAGGCAGGGAAATTTACACGTTTCCCCAAATGCTGAGCATCATTCCTTTCTTAAAATTACAGAGAACTCCGCTGCAGCTTGGGTGGACAGGCAGAGCCTTTTGAGCGAGACAAGCTAGCGTTCCAAAGGTTCCCTGGGCAGGACACGTGACTCTAGGCTGGCCCTGGGAGCCTGCCCTGCAACCTTCACACACCACAGAGCACCCGAGTCTGGGGCTGGGGACAGGTGGCCGGAGAGCAGGTGCAGGGTGCGCTCGCCTGGGCGGGGAAGGGGAGGGTGAGAGGAGCTTCTGACAGTGGAACACGAGTGGTTGGGGCACTGGGGACAAGGGGCTGGCTACTCCCCTGGTTCACCCTTGGTGATCACCTTTCCCTTCCCTGGGCAACAGTCCCACAGGGCCCTCTAGAGGAACAAGGGGTGTGCGCCTGGGATACCTCTCCCCAGTCCTGTGCATCCTGGGGCTTGCCCGGCTGACTTGGTGGGCAAGTTTATTGCCACCTACCCCGAGGGTATGCTAAGATGCCAACCTCGGGATGCAGCAGCCTTATTCCTGGGGATTGCTGGTTTGGTTTCAAAGAGTTTTGGCTGGGACTTGTCATCCCCATCCTCGTCCTCCTCGTCCCCATCCTCATCACCACCCTCGTCCCACCATCCTCCCCATCCCCATCGTCCCCATCCTCATCACCACTATCAACAACCGCCATCCTCATCTCCATCCCGGTCCTCGTCCCCACCATCACCATCCCCATCCCATCCCCATCATCCCCACCGTCATCCTCACTACCATCACCATCCTCCTCATCCCCATCATCGTCACCATCCTCACTCCACCATCATCCTCATCCCATCCTCATCCCCACCCTCCCCATCCCCATCCTCCTCATCCCCATCCTCATCCCACCATCATCCCCGTCACCATCCCCACCAGCCCCACCATCATCCTCATCCCCCTCCTCATCCCACCGTCCTCCTCATCCCCGTCATCCCCATCCTCATCGCCACCATCAACAACTGCCATCCTCATCTCCATTTCTGTCCTCATCCCATCGCCCTCCCCATCCCATCCTCCTCATCCCCATCACCATCCCCATCCTCACTCCACCATCATTCCCGTCCCCATCCTCATCACCCCATCACCATCA